CCCTGAGGACCACATAAGAAGGTGCTGTCTCTTCCATCACAGAAGCACCATTTCCTGTGTTGATAATTTATACCTTTCTCTGAATCCTCCAAGCAAGAAAGATGCTGTCACTGTCTCCTCTGCTGACAAGGACACAGAGGCTCTGCCAGGTCACGCATACCCTGCAGGTCCACAACCACGAGTGGCCCAGTCCAGCCTCCCGCAGTCCTGCCTACGTGTCCCCCTTTTGGCTGCCAGGTCCTTCTGCAAAGACGAATGCTTGTTGTTAAGGGACCTTGTTTTCAGCAGAGCTTTTGGACACGCGTTGAACTAGGCAGGGTTGGCCACATACAGCCTTTGTGAGGACATTTGTTTATGAACCCAGGCCAGGCAATCTGGTTACATGTGTTGAGATATTGCTCTGTGTGACTTGATGGTCCCTCTGCGAGGGGACAGATTGTCCTGACGTATTGTTGCTGGGGAGGAAAGGGGGAGGACACAGAGAGATACAGGCAGAGAGACAGAGATGAAGACAGAGAGAGACAGAGGCAGAGAGAGAGAGGGTATGCACACATCTCCACAGCAGGACATGAAGTGAAAGTGAAAAGTGTTAATCACTTAGTCAAGTCCGACTCTTTGCGACCCCATGGGCTATAGCCCACCAGGCTCCTCTATCCATGGGATTCTACAGGCAAGAATACTGGAGTGGGTTGCCATTCCCTTCTCCAGGGGATCTTCCTAACCCAGGGATCGCACTTGGGTCTCCTGCATTGCAGGCAGATTCTTTACCATCTGAGCCGACATAGTGAATACAGAAATGAGCTGCTTTTCAATATCACTGGAATGTCTAAGGGATTTTGAAAAAGCATGATGTCTCAGAACCCTCCCCCCAGCAGAAACAGGAGGACACTTGCAGGCATGGGGCCCCGCAGAGCACAGGGGCTCCTACGGATCATGCAGGCATGGGACCCCCAGGGGGCAGGTCTACACTGACCAGTGACCAGGGCTGTTAGCCGTGTGCAGAGGTAGGAGTGGGCAGAGAAGATGGACTGTCTTCCAAACACGAGGGGACAAATCCTGTTAGCTAGCAGTGAGTGTGAGGCCCCTGCATCCACCCAGGACATGCAAAGTCCCAGCCCTGGAGGGGCTCAGGGAGCAGCTGGAGGAACTCAAGCACAGAACAGTGTGACATGAGCCTCCCCGGCTTTTTCTGAGCACCTACTATGTGCAGGCCCCGGGCTGTGTGTTCCCCATGATGCTCTCACCCTGGCCTACCTCCACCCCAGGAGGACTGCTGTTTCCCCATCCTGACGGGGAAAATGGGGCTCAGGCCGGTTGTGTCTGGTCCAAGCTCCCGCAGCCAGGAAGGGGCTTCCTTCCTTATCTCTTGCTGCATACCAAATGCCCCAAAAGGCATAGCTTTAAAAACAACACCCTGAAAGAAGTCAGAACTGGTGGACTGGGTCTGTGCCTCCTGCTGCAGAGGCGGGGTGCTCACCTGGGACTACAGATTATTTCCTAGTGCTCACTCACGTGGCTGGAAAACTGGTGCCAATGTCAGTTAGCTGTGAGTTCCTAGGCTGTACTTGGGGTCTCCATGCTCTCCCTGCGGCCTTTCTAAGGGCGGCTCCAGATTCTTCACACCGTGGAGGTGCACTCACAGGAACAGGCATCCTGTGAGAGAGAGGTGGGGGAGGTACTAGGTTGGCCAAGAAATTCATTTGGGTTTTTCCATATGATGTTAAGGAAAACCCCAAATGAATATTTTGGCCAAGTTATTGTTACCTTTATGATGTAGCCTTGGGAGTCATGTAGCATCACTTCTGCAGAAGTCACCAGCCCACCCAGGTTCAAGGGGTGGGCGCTTAGATCCCATCACCCACAGCAGGAACATCTTATCACATTTCAAGCAGAATCTGTGGAGAGGAATTATTTTAGAGCCATCTACGCTCCAGCCACAGTTGCCCTTGGCCTGTGCCTCACACATGCTCAGCTCTTTTCTGCCTCAAGGTCTTGGCACCAAAGGCTGTTTCCATGGCTGGTTACTTATTATCCTTTAGATTTTAGTTTAAATGCCACCCCCCTGACATTTCTCATTCTCCTGTCTAAGTGGGCCCTTTGGCGACACCCTGGTCGCTACCATTATTCATCTTCTCCTTCTTCCCTAGAACTATAAACTGTGGTGTGCAGTGAGCATGGTGGTTGTGGTTGTGGTTTAGTCGCTAAGTCGTGTCTGACCCTTGCGACCCCAGAGACTATAGCCTGCCAGGCTCCTCTGTACATGGGATTTCCCAGGCAAGAATACTGGAGTAGGTTGCCATTTCTTTCTCCAGGGGATCTTCCCAGCCCAGGAATTGAACCTGGGTCTCCTGCATTGCAGGTAGATTCTCTACCTACTGGGGAACTATGAGGGAAATGAGCATGGGGCCTTGCCCAATAGAGAATGTTTCCTAGGTTTTCCCACTTCACAGCGGGGGAGCGTGGGGATCTTGTGACTGTCTGGCCCGTGTGACCTGAGCACAGGATGTATCCACTGTGGATTACAGCGATCCTCCCAGTGAGCCATGATGGAGACGTGGACCAAGCTGTACCTAACAATGGTGGGGAGAAGCAGTCAAATTCTGGATGGATTTTGGAGGTAAAATCAGCCTGGTCTGTTAGAGACTGGGTGTGGGGTGTCCCTCCTGAGGCGTGAGAGAAGGAGGGAGATGAAGGTAACACTGAGATTTTGGCCTGAGCAACTGAGATGAGTGTGTGAACTGAGGTGGGGGAGCCTTGGGGAGAGCAGGTTTGGGGAGAAGTTGCGGAGTTTCCTTTGGGCCATGTGAACCCTGTGAGGTGGGTCAGACCCCCGAGAGCAGGAATAGGCAGCTTGGTGGAGGCCCTGGAGGAACGAACGGGGGCTGGGCTGAAGCTGTTATACATCTGTGAGTTGTCAGTGCAGAGTCGACATTTAAAACCATAGGGTGGATGAGATCACCATGGTTTCTAGTGGATGAATGAAGACCGACCCTCAGCATTAGGAACTTAGAGACAGAGAAGGGAAGACCAGAGATCTTTCCTAGAAGCCAAGTGAAAGAAAGCCTTCATGGGAACCGTTGGCCAACTGTGTCAGAGGAACTGACCTGCTGAGTCTGCTAAGGACTGAGGATTGATATTGGATTCAGCACTATGGAGGTCACAGGTGACCTGGGGTCAGCACTGACAGGGAGGTCACAGGTGACAGGGAGGTCACAGGTGACCCAGGGTCACTGCTGATAGGGAAGGTGTTCCTGGACTGATGGGAATGAGAGCCTCAGGGGAGTGGGTTTAAAAGAGGTTGGAAGGAGAGGGGTTGGGCCATTGAGGAAAGACAGCCCATTGGAGGCATTTCCTTGGAAAGCAATACAGAGTATGAAAGAAGCATGCAGGGTGTTAGGACGAGGGTCAGCCTGTGTTCTGTGCAGTGGGTCGGTGGTCCTGCTTCTCCATCAGGTGCTGAGTTCTTTAAGGGCAGGAAGTGTTTCGTGTTCATCTGATTGTATCCACTGCCTGGCAAAGGACTGGACTTGAAGCTGATGCTCAGGAAATGTTGGCCTGAGGGAGTGAGGGAGGGCGGGAGGTTCTGCCTGTCTCTCTGGCCTTTACTTGAGCTTTCAGAGGAGCTGGGAGGGTGGGCTGTGTATTAGGAGGAGTGCAGGCTGGAGAATCAACAAGCCAAACTCCCACGTCCCCCCAGCTGGTGACCTTGCTCGCGTCCCTGAACTGCCCCAGGCTCAGTTTCTTTATCTATAGAAGGGACATGACATCACCTCCTTGCAGGACTGGTTTCGAAGTCTAGAGATAAAATGTTTGAAAAGAACTAGCAGAGTCCCAGTGACATCACTGGCCCTCAGAATCACCATCTCTTATCATAATCCCAAAGCCCCTGGATAGTAAACATGCCTGTTGTTTAGTGCCTGCAGCCTTTGTCGCTTACTTAATCCACACAACGGCCCTTCAAAGTAGGGGCCACCCCTTCATTTTAGAAATGAGGGAACGGAGGCTCAGGAAAGCAGTTTCCTCACCCAAAGTCATACCCTTTGCCCGGCAGAGCTCAGACTTGAAACTACATCAGGCTGACTCCAAAGGCTGTGCCTGTAGCTGTGCCGTGGCCTGCCTGGGGGGTGTTGGAAACCAGGGGATCCCCTGATGCAATGCCAAATGTGATCAGTGGCCTGGGTGCTGACCTTCAAATGCTGTGAAATGTGTCAGAGCCGGTGGCCTCTTGGACAAGGTGGTCTGGAGCGCAAGAAATTGAATGGGCCAGCCTGGCTTTGCCCAGGGTTGCAGGCAGGGAAGATGTGGGGTAGAGGCCCCCACCTGCCCCACTCCAGTAATTAGGATCTCTGCAAGTGCAGAGGGGCCAGCTGCCTATTTACTGCCTGGAGCTAAATTTTTTTCTTTATGTCATCATAAATCTGGCTGTAGGAACCTGCCAAGGTAATTATTACCTCTCACCACCTCTCTGCCGGGCCCTGATTGGGACATGTTATACGTCCTGGGCACCCAGAAGACGGAGCCGTGACTTTGATGGATGCTAAGGCCATTTGTAAGGCCCTGATTGAGAGCGGGGCCTGGCTGTTCCCTGTCACCAGGCTCCTACTGACCTCCCCCGGCAAACTCTACTGGACAGGGGCTTAACAGACACCCTCAGGGTGGAGGCCAGCGCAGAAATAAAGGTGTCGTTCTGTGGGCAGAACTGCCTGTGATGGGGCGGTGGAAGCAGAGACTCTGGCGTCCAAGGCCCTTAGTCCACAGGCCTCTTCCCCATGGGGGAACAGCGGCTGGTCCTGACCTTCAGTCAGCCTCGGGGGCCTCATCTGAGAAACGGGAGAAGAAAGAATCAGGGGCTTGGTGCTTCCAGGGCAGGGGGAACTGGATGGTGCATAGGGTTAGAGGGACCTATGGTTTCAACAGGTTCAGGCCAAGTGATGTCTTGGTGGAAGATGAGAGCCTTGGACGTGGTGATGTGAAAGAGCAAAGCTCCGTTTGGTGCATAGAAGGCCCGGGGCATGCTGCCAACTGCTCCATGTGGACGGTCCTGCTGGCCTCCGAGGAGACCTGTGAGGCCGGGGACATTGTCATGCCCACTCTAGAGGTGAGAAGATTGGGACTCTGTGAGTTTAAGTGACCTGCCCAAGGTCACAGAGCCCTGGAGTGACTGACGGACAGTGGTGGCCAGAGTGGCCGCTTGAACAACTACACCAGGTCCCATCACTGGGCTGCTCAGACCCCCCCGCGGCCTCCCACCACTTGGAGGGTGAAGCTGAGCTCCTGGGGTGACCTCGGAGGCCCTGCCTGATGGGCTCCGCCTTCTCTCCGCATGTTCCTCCTGCTTCCCCGCTCACTTCTCATGGCCCCGAGCTCTCTGCCTGGGTGCCCTCCACCAGACTCTGCATGGCTGGTCCTTCTTGGTGTCCAGGTCCCAGTTCAGATGCCCCCCATCATGAACCCCTCCCTGATGGGCCCCAAGGGGGACCCCTACCCCACTGACCTGCATCTCAGGGCCTTACCCTTTGTATGTCCCTCCTCACTCTCCCACAGTGAGTGATGAGTTTGCTTATTCATTGCTTATTTGTTCACTGTCTCGCCCTTCAGACTGTGAGAGTGAGGGGGCCGTGTGGATCCAGTCCCCCTGTTTCCCATGATAGGTGATATATATCACGTTCTCCTTATCCATTATCCTTTTATCAGTCAGTGGATGCATTGATCAATTCTCTATTTCATTTTTTCCCTGCTCTATTCTTTATTTCCCTCCATCTGCCAAATTTGGATTTAGTTTGTTCTTCTTTTTCTAGTTCCTTGCACATAAAGTTGTTTGTTAGAGATCTCTTTTTTTTCTTAATGTAGGCATCTGTCTCTATAAACTTCACCTTAGTTTTGGTGTGTAGTGTTCCTATTTTTGTTAATTTTGACATTGAAAAATTTCCTCTTTAATTTCTTCTTTGATCCATTGATTGTTCAGGGGCGTGATGTTTAATTTCCACATATTTGTGAATGTCCTAGCTTTCCTTCTGTTACTGATTTCTAGTTTCATACCATTGTGCCTGGAAAAGATATCTGGTATCACTTCAGTCTTTAAAAATTTTCTCTCTAACCCAGTGTATGTTTCATGTGCACTTGAGAAGAATGTGTGTTTTGCTGCTATTGAATAGATTATTCTATATATGTCTGTTAGGTACATTTGATCTAAAGTATAGTTCAAATCCTTATTGAGTTTCCTTATTGATTTTCTGTCTAGATGACTTATCTATTGTTGAAAGTGGGATATTGAAGTCTCCTACTATCATTGTATTGTTGTCTATTTTTCCCTTTAGAACTGCAGATTTTTGCTGAGTACATTTAGGTGCAGTGATGTTGGGTCCATATTTACTTCTAGGAGCCCTTTCCAAGCAGAGTACTATTGGCTCAATGTCAGTGATTGGGGTTGATGTTTCTTGGTGTTGGCCAGGTCACTGGCCTAAGCTACTTTCTGAGTCTGGTGAAACTTTGGGCATGGTCTGCATTAATTTCAGTTTGATAAGCCTGGGCCCCCACGCTGGTGTGTCCTGGTGACCACAATAGTGGCTGCCCTTCATTGTCCCTCATGCAGACATTGTCCCTCATCTTCACAGTATCCTGAGAACTGGGTATTACCAAGTTCATTTGACAGATAAGAAAACAGAGGCTCAGGAGGTGATTGGATCTTGGCTGGTATTCTCTTTGAGCCACCCCTGTCTTGCCAAGCCTGGCAAAGGACCAACCTGACTATTTGCCTTTGCTATTCCAGTCCTGAGATGTGGAGGGGCTGTTTTGGTAATGACTGTGATACTCATTCATTGGAAGGACTGATGCTGAAGCTTAAACTCCAATACTTTGGCCCCGTAATGTGAAGAACTGCCTCCTTTGAAAAGACCCTGATGCTGGGAAAGATTTAAGGCAGAGGAGAAAGGGACGAGAGAGGATGAGATGGTTGAATGGCATCACCGACTCAATGGACATGAGTCTGAGTAAATTCCGGGAGTTGGTGATGGACAGGGAGGCCTGGCATGCTGCAGTCCATGGGGTCGTGGAGAGTCAGACACGACTGAGCGACTGAACTGAACTGTGATACTGCCAACCTCAGCTGGCACCAACATCACCTGTCCTTCCTCTGACCTTCTTGTAGTCTGTAGTCTGTCCTAGTCTTCAAATGCTGTTTTAAACCATTATCCTCTTGAAACCCCCTGCCCAAGCATAAGCACCGTTGGTCCCAGTAACTCACCCAACTTCCTCCCCATGTGGGAAAATGGAGCTCTGAGACACAGACACCTTCTCTCTGTTGACAAATGATTCTGTGTGTCCTCAGTCATTCCAGGAGCAGACTTGCTTCTTCCTTGTGAAAGGCCAATACCAGCCATCTCCTTGGGTCTGTCTACTTCTGCCTCTGTGGGGGCCGATCCACAGCAGGATCCCACCCCCTTCTCCTATTGCCTCACCTCATCTGGCTCCACCACCCAAGCCTTCCTTGCAGAGATTTGGAGAGATGTACAAATCTCCCCACACATGACCTTGAAATAAATCCTTCCCTTCGTATCCTCCAGCTGCCTGAATCCATGTCCTCCTGCCCATCCACACCCTCTTTGCTGGGAGTGTAGGGGGCAGTTATGCCCTGAGAGTCAGTGGGTAAATGTCCATCCTCCCCATCCTCCAGGAGGATGGTGCTGAGGCATTCTCTATGAGGTCCTTAGTGGGTCCCCAGCAGGACTGCACTCTGGTACCCATGGCTGTAACCCACTCATGAACCCAGGCTTCGCTGACTCTCCTCCTTACCCTGTTCAGTTTCTCCATGTCCTCACCTGTGACCCTGGGCTCACCTCCCAGATGAGTGACCAGCATCAGAGTCCTTGTTCAGGGTCTATCTGGGGGGCCCCCACCCTAAGACCCACACTTGCCCCACCTGCCTCCCTGAGGGAATTCAGTGCTCTCTCCTGCTCCCTGAGAGCACTTCTTATTGCACTTCTTGAGGCAGAGCCTCTGTTTCCTGCACCAAACTGTGAGCCCCTTGAAGGTAAAGACAAACTCTTCATCATCTCTGTTTCCCCTTCACCTGGCACATTACCCAGCCCATCACTGGTCAAGAAGCTTGCTGAGTGAGAGTGTAAATAAATGGGTAACTGATGAAATAAATCTCAAAGGCACCTACCCTGGGTGACAGACCTTGTGAAGTAAACTATTCCATCAGTGTGGCCCTCTCTATTCCGTCCCCCTTCTCCTCTCCCGTCAGGGGTCCTATCACTGTCCCCTGCCCACCCCCACCCCCAGAGGTCCTGAGGTCCCTACCTATGCCATCAACACCCATTCGGTCCTCTATAACGCCATTGTAATCAGTTCACAGGACACTGCCTGCCAGGAAAAGTTCCCAGACAAGGGAGTGGGTCTCTTGGTGGGAGACTTCTACTTCAGTTAAATAAAGGTTCCGGGTACCTGGGGAGATGCTATTATAATGTGACATAATTCAACGTCACTGTCCAGCAGATGTCACACTGGAGGGATGAATTTGTCCCGGCTGGACTCCCGAGTTCATTCAGAAATACTCAGAACAACCACCTGCTGCTTCTGATGTGAACAGCCCCAGGAAATGTTAATTTCTTCAAATCAAGTCATTCAGCCCAAGTGCATGGAGCTGAGTTTCCAGCAGGAGGAAATAAAATCATGGCTGGAGAAGTGAAGCAGCTGCTGCCAAGCCAAGAGCTCATGGAGACCACATCCAGTTTTGAGACCCCTGGGGGAACGGGATGCTCTGAGTACATCCAGAATACCTGGGGAACCCAGACTCGGCGACCTGACTCTGTCGTACACATAAGAAAACTGAGGTGTGTAGAGGCAAAGAAGAGGCTGCCCAAGGTCACACACGGTGAGTCAGTGGCAGACCTGGGACTCAAGTCTGAATCCAAACAAATCTGCCACCACCCTCAACTTCTTAGAAGAGCAGATAGGCTGGGAATCATGCTGAAACTAAAAACCAGACCAAATAGCAACAGAAAAAACAGCAAGCACCCTGGACTGACTCAGAGGTTGTGCTGGTCTGGGAATTAAGGCCCCTGGGGTCTGGTGCTGGCCCTGACCCCCTATTTTCTATGGACACTGGCAAGTCTATTCCCTTCTCTGGGCCTCAGGTCCCTTATGTACAAAATGAAGAGGCTGATGATCTCTAAGTGGTGTCTCAGTTCCAAAAATCTGTCATATTTTGGGCCTCAGTTTCCCCATTCAAGGGGTAGAATGTGTCACTTCCAAGGATGCTGTGAGAATCATGTGATGTCTAGAAGAAGTTCCTTGGCGCAACTGTGTGATGGTAACCTTAGGAAGAGTGTTCCAGTCACTCCCACGCCTGCCGCAAGGTGATGCTGGCCCTAGAGCCAGTTCCACCTCTGAGCTGCTAGAAGGAGCGAAGGGACACTGGTGTGTCATCTCCAGGCAGATAGATCTTGACTGGGCTGTAGGTCCTGGGGTCCCAGGCCCCCCTCCCAGACTCCCACCGTATACGGTGGATCTGAAACCAGATCCTCTCACCATTCTAGTTAGTGACATGAATCTTCTCAAGCTGCCTGCTGGGGTCTTGGCAGGGCTGGGCTTGGGCACAGAGCTGGGAAGAGGAGGAGGGAAAGGAGAGGGAGGCTTTATATACCAGTGAAAAATCTGGACTCTAGAATCAAACAGACCTGAGGTCAATGGCTGGCTCATCCCTCAGTATTTGCAGGATTTTGATCAAATCTTTCAACAGTTCTACAGTTCTAACCCCAGTTTTCACATCTGTTAAATGGAAATGAAAATTCTCTCACGTCTAATGCTGGCAAGACACTTAGTACCATGTCTGGCTCAGGGTGAGTTCTCCAAACACAGTAGCCAGCAGCAAAGCAGGACTCGTCACCACACATCTCCAGAGTGAGGTGTTCTTCAGGGAGGGGCTGCAGAATCCACCCTGCAGGACAAATGAAGAGTTGTGGAAGAGCTTGTCCAAGCCAATGAAGACTTGAAGGACAGATTCCCAGACCACACAGGGAACAGAGTGCATCTGCCTGCTTTTGATCATGTTCATGAGAGCAGAGATGATTTGTATCTGCCTAACAGCAATTATAATAGAGGAGATTACAGCCATGAGTTCATTGACAAGTGGTAATTATAATCATTATTGCAACAGTAAGTTGAAGGCTAAAGTTCATGTCAACACATCAATCAGGAAGGAATGCCAATGTCAACCATGATCAAATGACTGTTATGTGTATAAACAATGCATGTAATGTTAGAGAATTGGGAGAGCAGATGATGGGGAACCAACCATATAGAGACACCCTGGGCACTCACAGGGGTCAACACTAACATCAAATGAGGCACAGAGTGTGAAACAACATCCCCCAAATTCCCCAGTGCGTGAGTGGAGCCCAAACTCCAACCAAGATATCTGAAGCTGAGGCTCTGACCACCCGTCAGAGTTGACCAGCACCACATTTTTAGGCTGGAGCTTCCCAAGCCTCGCTTGTGGCTTCCTTTGGGCTTCCCCTGTAGCTCAGCTGGTAAAGAATCCGCCTGCAATGTGAGAGACCTGGGTTCGATCTGTGGGTTGGGAAGATCCCCTGGAGAAGGGAAAGGCTACCCACTCCAGTGTTTTGGCTTGGAGACTTCCATGGACTGTATAATCCGTGGGGCCGCAAAGAGTTGGACACGACTGAATGACTTTCACTTTACTTTGCCAGGTCTTGCAGGATCAGCAAAGGACAGAGCAGCTAAAGCACTTAGGGGCTGGGGGAGGGGACCTTCCCTGTGGTCCTAATGTGATGGACAGGAAGTTATCAGCAGGGACCTTGTCTGCCGCACAGAAAGATGGAGGCACTGAGCGATGGCCTTTCCAGCTCCCTGGGATTCTGAAACCCTTGTAGGCTTCCCCCTTGGCACCCACCAAGAGTCCCTCACACCCAGCTGCCCAAGTAGATCTTCCCCAAGTACTGAGGCCACAGGGCTGCAGCAAGATCTGGAACTCAAGGATGCACACATTTGTGAATTGGAATAAAATGCCAGCTGAATATTAGTCTTCGATTTTCCCTCTTGAGTTACTGAACCATGAAATACCAGTCGTTTTGCTATGAGAGATGTTACACAGGAAAAGTTATTATGTACATATTAATTCAGCTATTCACATGCATAAGGGAGTAGACACACACACACACAGGACAAAACCCTAAAAGGCTCTTCAGGGGCTTAAAAGTCCCAAATTCACCAAAAGTCCTTTTCTTGGCATCCTAAGCCCGCTCAGGAATAATCGTTCTAATCTTGTCCCTCCAGCTCCCTTTCTTTCCCTGAAGCTGAGCTTGCCCTGTGGACACCATCTTCTGAATGGAAGGCAAGTTTTCACTCCTCTTGGGTATATTCCTAGCAGCAGAATCTCTGAGTTCTATAGTAACTCTGTGCTTAAGTTTTTGAGGAAATGCCAAACTGCTTTTCACAGTGTCTACACCATTTTATAGGGCTTCCCCGGTGGCTCAGATAGTAAAGAATCTGCCTGCATATTCCCACCAATAGTATATGAAGGTTCCAATTTTTCCATATCCTCACCCTTAATTGCTATTGTCTACTTTTTGCTTATAGTCATCCTAATGTATGTGTGTATGTGGAGTTACTCAGTCATGTCCGACTATTTGTGACCCCATGGACTGTAGCCCACCAGGCTCCTCTGTCCATGGAATTTTTTAGGCAAGGGTACTGAAGTGGGTTACCATTTTCTTCTCCAGGGGATCTTCCCGACCCAGGGATTGAACCTGGGTCTCCTGCATTGCGGGCAGATGCGTTACCATCTGAGCCACCATGGAAGCCCCATCTCCCTATCCTAATGTATAGAAAACGGTATCTCACAGTGGTTTTAATATTTTTTAATGACCAATGATGTTGAGCATCTTTTCATGATCTTATTGGTCATTTGTATATCTTTTTTAGAGAAATGTCTATTCAAATCTAGCCCATTTACAAATTGAGTTGTTTGGCTTTTTGTTGTGGCATTGTAGGACTTCTTTACATATTCTAGATATGTTTCTTATCAGATGCATGATTGGCACAGTTTTTTCTTGATTCTATAGCTTGTATTTTCACTTTCTTGATGAAGTCCTTTGAAACACAGAAGTCTTTATTTTGATGATGTCTGACATTTACTTTTTGCTTTTAGAACTATGCTTTTGGTGTCACATCTAAGGAACTGTTGCCCAACTTAAGCTCATAATGATTTCTGCCTATATTTGTTGTTTAGTCGCTAAGTTGGGTCAGACTCTTTTGTGACCCCATGGACTATAGCCTAGCAGGCACCTCGAGCTATGGGATTTCCCAGGCAAGAATACAGGAGTGGGTTGCTGTTTCCTTCTCCAGGGGATCTTCCCAACCCAGGGATCAAACCCAGATCTCCTGCATTGCAGGCGGATTCTTTACCCCTGAGTCACCTGGGAAGATCTTTCTGCCTATATTTACGTCTACTTTTGGCCCTTAGTTCTTCCCTGGCAGCTCAGTCAGTAAAGAATCTGCCTGCAATGCAGGAGACCTGGGTTTGATCCCTGGTTGGGAAGGTCTCCTGGAGGAGGAAATGGCAACCCACTCCAGTATTCTTGCCCTGAGACTTCCATGGGCAGAGGAGCCTGGCAAGCTACGGTCCATGGGGTCACAAACAGTCGGACACATCTGAGAGACTAGCACTTTCACTTTAGCCCTTACATTTAGGCTTATCTCCTTTGAGTTAACTTTTGTATATAGTGTGCGACAGGGATCTAATTTTGTTGTTTTACATATGGCTATCCAATAGTCTCAGCATCATTTGTTTAAAAGACTACTGATTCCCCACTTAATTAATTATCTTATCCTTTTTGAAAATCCATTCTCCATATAGGTAGTGCTATATCTGGACTCTAAATTCTATTTCACTGATCTATGTCTTTATCCTTATGCCAAAACCCCACTATTTTAGTTACTGTAGTTGGCAGTAAACTTTGAAATCTGTACGTAAAAGCCTTCCAAGTTTATTTTCTTTTTCAAGATTATTTTGGCCAGTCTGTATCCCTTGCATTTCCTTATGAATTTTAGGATAAACTTGTTAAGTTCTGACCAAAAAAAAAAAAGACAGTTGAATTTTGGTAAGGATTGTGAATCTGTAGTTCAATTTGGTAAGCATTTCTATCTAACCAATAGTTAGTCTTCTGGTCTATAAACTTTCCATTTATTTAGATCTTGTTATTCATTTAGATATTTAATTTATTTCAGTAATGTTTTGTAGGCTTCAGAGTATTTTGCACTTATTTGTTAAATTTATCCCTAAGGATCTTATTCTGTTTGATGCTATTATTAATGGAATTATTTTTTTAACTTCATTTCAGGTTGTTCATTGTTAGCATGTAAAAATACACTAGATTTTTGTGTATTATCTTGTATCCTTCAACT